CCCCCAGAGTCCAGACACCCATAGCCCAGACATCCAGAGTCCAGACACCCATAGCCCAGACATCCAGAGTCCAGACACCCATAGCCCAGACATCCAGAGTCCAGACACCCAGAGCTCAGACATCCAGAGTCCAGACCCCCAGAGTCCAGACACCAGAGTCCAGACATCCAGAGTCCAGACATCCAGAGTCCAGACATCCAGAGTCCAGACACCAGAATCCAGACATCCAGACATCCAGAGTCCAGACACCCAGAGTCCAGACATCCAGAGTCCAGAGCCCAGACACCCAGAGTCCAGAGCCCAGAATCCAGACACCCAGAGCCCAGACATCCAGAGTCCAGACACCCAGAGCCCAGACATCCAGAGTCCAGAGTCCAGACACCCAGAGTCCAGACACCCATAGCCCAGACATCCAGAGTCCAGAGTCCAGACATCCAGAGTCCAGACCCCCAGAGTCCAGACATCCAGAGTTCAGAGTCCAGACACCCAGAGTCCAGACATCCAGAGTCCAGACACCCAGAGTCCAGACACCCAGAGTCCAGACACCCAGAGCCCAGACATCCAGAGTCCAGAGTCCAGACAGCCAGAGTCCAGAGCCCAGAATCCAGACACCCAGAGCCCAGACACCCAGAGTCCAGACACCCAGAGTCCAGACACCCATAGCCCAGACATCCAGAGTCCAGAGTCCAGACACCCAGAGTCCAGACCCCCAGAGTCCAGACATCCAGAGTCCAGACACCCAGAGCCCAGACATCCAGAGTCCAGAGTCCAGACACCCAGAGTCCAGACCCCCAGAGTCCAGACATCCAGAGTCCAGACACCCAGAGTCCAGACATCCAGAGTCTAGACATCCAGAGTCCAGACATCCAGAGTCCAGACATCCAGACATCCAGAGTCCAGACATCCAGAGTCCAGACACCAGACATCCAGACATCCAGACATCCAGAGTCCAGACATCCAGAGTCCAGACATCCAGACATCCAGAGTCCAGACACCCAGAGTCCAGACATCCAGAGTCCAGACATCCAGAGTCCAGACATCCAGAGTCCAGACATCCAGACATCCAGAGTCCAGACATCCAGAGTCCAGAGTCCAGACATCCAGAGTC